TGAATAGAAAAAATGAATGTCCGTACGTAGTAAAGTGCACTCATTTACATAGAAAGATATTTTTCAAAATTACACGTTCTAATTTTAGTTTATGCATACTGAATAAGCAAAGATTAGTAGTAATTCAAGGTACTTGAGGCCATTCACCCGAATATACAAATCTACAACATAATGATGTTTACTCCTTCGTACATACATCATATGCATATATATAAATATTTTAATGGGTATCAAAATACAAATAATAATATCAAGATTCATGCATTTATATATATATATATATATATATATATATATATATATGTTTATAAACTTTTATTAAATATTTATCATTTTTATTATAATTAACTGATGTATGGAATAATAATATGGTGTCACTATTTTATTTTTACATCTAATAAAACTATCATATTATCATATTTATTTTTATTTCAGTCGATTTAATGATATAAAAGTATGCAGATATCTACAATTTGTACAGGAAAAAAATTTATGATGATTTATTATCGTACACGGGGTTCATTCTTCTAAATTGTCATTCAAAGAAGTAAAAAATTATGAAAAATTTAATCGTAATAAATCGATTATAGTTTCTAATTTTCAATAATGTACAAATAATATGAGTATTTCATTTTTTCGGTACGAAAAACGAAGGCATTTTCATAAGAGTAAATCCATTGCAATTACTATAAATGTCAGGCTATAAGGTTTTACATATTATTAAAATAATAAAGGATAATAAATCCTTTTACATAATTGAATTTCTTTTCAGCGTGTAAATAAAGTATGCAATCAATTGTATCTTTGGAGTATCAAAAAGTTAAAAGATTAAAGTAAAAACCAGCGCCTTAGATAATAATAATAATATATTTCTTTATAAGATAATATTGAAACTTTTAGAATAATTATTGTACATGCCGGAGCGCTCACTCTCATAAACAAATTGGCCGATCTGGGAGCAGAGTTACAGTATGAGTTTCTCTTTTATTAAATTACCTGTGACTAGTACGCCGGATTGATTAAATATTTTGACAAGTATATAATATAGAAATGCTGCAAATTTCATTTTAGACTTTGATCGAACCATTTTGTACTCAAGTGATTGTTATTGTAATTTATTTATTATATTTAATTTAATTTTATTCTTATTATTTCCAGTTATAAACGACTGCTCGCTTCTCGTTGTACATTTACAGCATTGATCAGCATTTTATAAATAATTGCAATTTCAAGTTACGACGATGTACGTTTTAGCGTTAGATGCGTGTAGTTTTAAACTTGGCGCTTGGCTGGATTTATGTTTCGCACTCTATTCATCTCCATATATTATATTCGCCAATATTTATCTATGAATACAAGGATTGGAAGAGTTTGGCGTCTTAAAGGGAGCTAAAAAAAGAGAACATACAATATTCACATCGTCTATCCACGATCAATCATTACCCAATAGGGAAATATATTTCATGCACCTTTCATTCTATGAATAAATCATTCGGTCGCTATCTATCTTTATCTCTCTCTCTCTCTCTCTCTCTCTCTCTCTCTCTCTCTCTCTCTCTATTTTACTTCGTCTCTTAGCCTCGGCAACATTGACTTTTTTCTCTGTATAATCAAAAAAAGAAAACAAACTTGGGCTTCTCCATATTCGAGATAATATTTCAGCGCACTTATCTTTAAATCGTGTGTATTGACTTACTTTTCGATAAAAAGATTTCATAGAGTACATATTTACATAATTGTACTATATCTCTAATTCTAATTGTATGTATGTATCAAGATCAATCGCATCGAGAACAGAATTGCCGATGTAATATACATATATATATATATATATATATATATTACATCACTGCTTAATTGGGGCATTTATTTATAAAAAATACTATTTGGTTGAATATTATCAATCGTTGTCTATTTTAATTGAAATAATTGTGAAAGCTATTAGCGGTGCTTAATTAATTTCATTTACGTATTAGATTTTCCATATGCTTTATCATAAGTTCTCCAATTATTAATTCATACTAGATTCTTATTCTCTATAACAAATAATTACAAGTATACTTAGAGTATATAAATTCGCCACCAGTTGCCATTATTAAATATGCATTGTGAACATTACAAATATAAAAAATTTTCTTTGCCAAACACACAGTGACGCGCGCATGCACACAACCATGCACAGGCGCAGACACACAGGCACAGACAGAGAGAAATACAAAAGTAGTTGGGTAATTTGTAAACACGCATTTATTATGCTTCTCGATTAATAGCGTACAATCTTCGATATTATATTATAATTTAAGAATATAATATAATTTATTAATCATCTAAATTTATAATATTTTTTCTTTCTAAAAATAACTCTAATTCGCCTTCAAGTTCTTTTGCCCAAGCAGAATGAAAGAACAGTTTAACGCTCCATAAAACGAAGTTTTCATTATATACGGTAAAATACTTATTATATTATAATGGTAAATATTATATTAAATTATAATAAATTGACTATAATAATTCCCTAATGGATTTTATCAATTTCAACTAGAAAAATAGTAACTAAAACTAAAATGGCAGAAAGTTTTCTCAATATTCTCAGTTAAATATATGGCAGTTTTAAAGCTGTGACAGCACTGTAACTTAAATAATTGTAATTTATTTCTTACATTAAAGGCATATCAGTGTACAATCGGCAAACCCAATGCATAATCTTAAAAATACGAGAAAAAGGTTATTTAATAAAGAATAATTATATTGTTTGATATTCGATGTAAATATTAACTGCGTTCATAAGTCCAATGGTGGCTCGTTTAATTAAAATAAATCATGTAAAATATATTAGTCGCGAAAAGGGTATTTTTATAAAAAGAATTATATTTAAAAAGATTATATTAAAAAAGGCGTTATAAAATATATTAAAATACCGTTTCATTAACGAAATATCAATGTATTAAAAAAATTTAGTGTATTTTAATGTTATTTAATATTGACACTTGCAACTACTCAAAATTAAATTAAACTTATCATCCGCAGACGTCCGTAATCAGAAGTGTTGAGTTGGTCATTTATCATTATCGAATTGATTGAAGTATTGAAATTAAGAAAGCATTTTGAAATTCTTATTCTCTTTTAATATCATGACTTTTTTTCTTACTTGCATAGTTATGAAGAGAGAGAGAGAGAGAGAGAGAGAGAGAGAGAGAGAGAGAGAGAGAGAGTGAGAGAGAGAGAGAGAGTGAGTGAGTGAGAGTGTGAATGAGAGAGTGTGAGTGAGAGGGGTGGGTGGTGGCGGTGGTGGTGGTGGTGGCGGTGGGGAGGGGAGGGGAGGCAATGGAAGGTTTGTTAAAGTAATTATTGCATAATTATTTATAACTCTTCTTATTGGATGTTATGCGATATGTAATTGCTACACAAAGACTTAGTAATTTTGTTTATTATTATTCTATTGAGGGCATGGTAGATATATAATTGTTTATAGCTAGAAGCAATGGGTTGGACAGAAAGATAAGAGTGAGATAGAAAAAGGCCTATTAAATGAAAGAGACCGAAAGGACCGTTGGAGATGGCATCATGCATCATGCGAGAGAGATAACGTGATATTTATTATACAAGGCCTAATAATAGAATGCTTATGTATATTGATTAACCATCGATCGCAAAATATAAACGTTTGCGCGTTATCACTTCTGAGTAAAAGAATTAGTGACTTAATTAGTGGCAAAATGAATGCTAAATTCATATATATGTTAATTTAGCAAGAAATTTATGTCTACACAGATAGATGTTGGCTTTCTATATTGAATATGAAAATTTAGCATCCTTCTCGTTAATACAACCTGTATTATATTTGATAATGGAGAAGAGCTGTGAAAAATTTGTCGATCTAGCTAATATTAGACAATGAAGTAATTATTGTTCTTCAAGTCCAAACGTACGCCGAATTGTTTGAAATATAAATAATATCGGAGCTGGAGATTATCTATGAAACTCTTTTCATGAAATGTAGAGAATAAAAGTTGGCTAATTTGTAATCCTATGACGTTTATGCCTCGAATGTACGTCAATTATGTATATACATGTGTGTATATATATATATATATATATATATATATATATATATATATAGCATTATTATATATATATATATAGCATTATTCCTCGTTCCGTGGCAATGTAATTGAAAAATATGACTTCCATACACACCTTGTGGCAGTTTCTCTCTACGAGTATTAAACTATTAAATGGCATCAAAAAGCAGAATACTTGGAGCCACCGCAATACTTGGATTTGTAAAAAGGTTAATTGAAATTCATTATCATTCGTTTGATGGGATGTCCTAAGTTGATAATCGCAGCCTACGACGCCATACTTCATAAATGAAAAATACAATTATTACGAATACTTTGTATTCATGATTGATCGAGCTGTCTGTATCATTGGCCTTTCTTCGGACAATAAGGATTTCAAGTCTGTCTTTTAATTATTATTGTCATATATAGTGAGTTGTGATATTGTGAGTGTAGTAAGATAGAGCACAGTACGTGTTTGCAATTTATGCTGTTTACTTTACTTCAATCGTCGTATTTGAAGGAGAGGAGAGTAAAATTTCTGCTTCTAACATTGACAATTATTACCAAACATTGCAGGCACCTCTCGCCTTCGCCTTCGCCTTCGCCTTCGCCTTCGCCTTCGCATTCACATTCACAATTCAGTGCATTAAGACTAACGGCCCATCGATATCACAATCTGATTTCAATACAATTTAGCGTATAATTTTGAAATTGACCGGTGATTTGTTTTTGTTTTTCGTTTTTTGTTTTTTTTTGTTCATATATATAATTTAAATTTTTTAATCGTCTAAAATTTAACGAATGTATAAAATAATGTGTAAATAATGTAAAGATCGTATAATTATGTTCCAATTAAATGATATGGAAACAGTAGAAGCAGCTTCAATGATATGTATTGGATGGATAATAGGCGCGAATGATGGCAAGTTCATTATTATGTGGGACAACTTATAAATTAGGTAAGACGAGAGGTGGTTGGCTCGAGAACGATTTTTCCTATGTAGCAGCTTCCTATGCGTGTCAATGCCACGCCAATCTCATGGGTAAACTTAACGTTCGTCTGAAAAATACTGTAAAAACAAAAGATTAAAATAATAATTAAAAAGCAAAGAAATTAATTTTGTTGAAATTTGCTACAAAGATTTAGCACGTAATGTTATAGTTTATTGTCGAATGATATTTTTAATAGTGCGCGTTTGTTGTATGCGTGTGTCGGTGTGCTGGATATATTTCTTCCTCTACTTTATTTACTTTATTTACTTTGTTTAATTATTAAATTTATTTATAATGTGATTTAGTAAGGAATCTTAATAATTTTACGTAGGATATGGATCACGGCAATTGATTACCCTGAGATATTGTGAAATTCTGAAACATTTATTCCTTAAATAAAGAAGACTAAAATAAAAAGCACATAATCCTTTCGAAATACGAACTTTTTTTATTAGTGAAACTGTAAATGTATTTTCATAATTGATTATAGAACTTATATAATGTAATGTAATGTAATGTAATGTAATGTAATGTAATACAATGTAATATAATTCTATGTATAATATTTGTTTTAATTATTACATTTTCAGCGAGATTGACCAACTCTTGTTAAATTATCATTCTCTTCTTAATCCATTAATATAGAAATATATAATATAGAAAATAAGTAACATTTACGTTTTATTGACTCAATAAGAAGAAGAATTTTATCGCGTTTAACGAGATCAATATTTAATAATGGTCATAATAATATTAATATTAATAATTAATTAATTACGAATAATTACGAGTATAATTCTGAAATTCTGAGTTCTGGAAGAATATATTTTGAAAAAGACAATTACCGTTATACTTTGCAACTAATTGCACTGCAATTAATAATTCATTGTATTTTCTCTTAATTTATATGTACACTTTAGTATAAATTAAATAAAATTAAAAGACGATTATTCAATTATTGAAATAGGATATTCAATTATAGAATTACCTATATGTACAACAAAATTCTAATTACTATTATTGTTTTAAACGATATTAATAAAATAAAGTATTTTATGTGTAATATGTCAAGAAAGAAGATATGTAAAGGTAATAATAGTCAATCAAGTATTGTCCATACTACATTCCATTCAATTTTATATTGACGAAATAATGTTGAAAGCATTAGTATGGCTTTAAAATTCACTTATTATACTTATTCATTGAAATTCATACCTCATTTTCCATTCTAATCCATATTGAACTGTTTCCGTAGGTACAAATGATTTAACTCCTACATTATTACGTAATAATAATACTGGGCTATTTTGAACATTAGATTCGGATGATTCTTCATCATAATAACGATAAATAATACGCGCTTGAATATCTTTTGAAAATTTCACATGTACAAAGAACAACCTGAAAAAATGCAATGCCTACTTATTATAGAATTTACAATTTATCATATTATTCGATGTCACTTATTCTTTATTAACTATTTTTGTAAAGTGTACGTTTGTATCGTTGCCACTATGTTATATATATATATATATATATATATATATATATATATATGTTACAATTATTTTTTTTAGTACAGGCAAGTAGTCAGCAAATTGAATGCAAAAAATTTGAATTACTTTTTAAACTATTTTACCAACATTGGATATTAATTTACTTTCTAAATGCATCGATTAGTTTCATGATGTGTTTTTCTATTTATAATTATTGCATACTTAAAGACAGATCGGAATAAGCGAAGCATACCTGTGGTAAGATCTTATATTTTTACTTAGTAATTTTATACAGCCTCCACCTTCGTATGAAATATCATAAGTGAATTGTGTACAATTTATTCCAGCGAATGAATCAGCCTTGTCTTCAAATATAATTTCATTATCCAAGACCTTGATTTTTTCATGCAAAGTTTCATAAGTACACTTTTGTGTTTCTAGCTTTTTTGATTGATCGTTCCTTCGTGCGGGTGGTAATATATTCATAGAAATAAATTTTAAATGCGGACAAGTTAATATAACTTGATGCTTTTGCATTGCCATATTGTAGAATGAACTATTTCTCTCTATTACATTATTCGTAGTTGGATCTTTATATGTTATTTGCTATATTAAAATAGTACATTCATTTAAATAAGGATGTTTTTCTATACTAAATATATCTGATAATGAATGTGTGATTTTTCTTGCTTTTAGTAAGCTTACCTTGCCATATTCATAATATTTCTTCCCAGCTCCTCGACAAAAAGTAGTTATAAAACGTTCATTATCGTACGTACACACATGAATGTACAGATATTGCATGAGTTGAGCCCAAAATACGTTTTCAACTCTTGGAAATGTTTTTGGTCCAAAATATTCGTATGTCCAGGCTGGAGCAAATATGGCAACGGAAAGACCCTGCTCTCGTATTCTTTGTAAAGCCTGTAATTGCATTAATTATACAATGTTGCTGAAATTAATTGATATAAAATAATACTACATAATTATCGTACATGGGCAGAGTTAAAACCTCCTCCACCTGGACAACCTCTTCCCCAAACATCTAGGCCAACATAAATATCCTTAATTCTATTTTGTTTATTTGCTCTAATAACACTTTCTATTAGACCTGAATCGGTCCATGTATAATTCAAGAATATTCCATCGCAACTATTGAAAAAACATCTGAAAGTAGAGATAAAATATAACTTTAATAATCATATTACATTTTAATGTGAAGTTTAATTTTAATTTTCAGTCAATGTTTAAGTTTAATAATGCATTTTCAAATTTTATTTCTGCTTATGATAATTTGTGATATACGCATTTATAAAATTGGGTAATATTATTCATTATCGTACAATATATGTAATATTGATAGAATTGTACATCAATTTTGTAAACGTTAAGTTGACGTTCATACTGAAAGTTCTACTTAATTACATAATTAAGCATCATTTTTGTATTGAAAAATCTTACTCGTTCTTTTCATTAAGCTCATTTTGCCAACTTAATCTTCCTGTATTTATTACACTGTCATACCAGATGATTTCAGAGTTATCTATTTTTTTATGAATATTCTCCGTCAAATATTGGACAAAAAATACAAGTTGGGTAATATTGTTCTCGTTGATTTCATTCTCAATATTCAGCAGCCAGCCTTCAAATTTATAAAACTGAGCAATTTTTATTAAAGCATCTGCAAATTTGACCACACTGTTTCTGCTTTTAAAAATTTCATCCCAAATTTCTTTTCCTTGCGCACTCTCTGTAATTAAAGTACCTAAGATTTTAACACCGTGCCTATGCGCTGCATTAATCCAGCCAAACGGTGGTATAGTTACAAAATAATGGCTAAAGTATATAAATGTATCAACAATATTCCAATGATAGAAGTGATAAGAATTATATTCATTCGATCCATCTATATATCTAAAATCATTATATCAAATTCTTATTAATTTAATTATTAGATAAAATCATTTTCAAAATGTTTATTTTAAATTGACATAAACTTTAACCGATAATGTACGACTTTAAATTAAGCTAGTTATCGATGAATTTTTCATTTATACTTACTTATCTTCGAGGTAACCACCCTTTAAGTCATGGCATACAATTGTTTTCGGCACATTATTCCTTTGCAGTCTTTTTGGATTATCGATATAGGCATCGATGTCATTACCTTGATAAACATAATCCGTCGATTTACATAAATCAAAAATTCCTGGCCAATATACAAGAGAATCTATTTTGTTATAAAGTTCCTTCAAATTTTTCAACGGACTAACTACTCGTTCATTTACTTCCATAGTTTCCAATTGCATCTGACAGCAGTATATGCATATCCAAGTTACTAAATAGAAGATGCTTACAATGGTTTTCCGCTTCTAGTAGATCAAGGGCAACGGTTAGTCAACGCATATCTGGAAACTTTCTTATCGTCTAACGGAACTATAATATCTCACTTTCAAGTGCAATCGAAGCCTTTATGTTTACATATCAACCGACAGCGGATATTCAGCGTGGTTTCTGATATTACATTTTAAATTATCTATAAGTAATGAGAACGATGTTTGAGTATTAGTGAAATGATAAAAGATATATTGATATCGTAATTAGGGTCAATGATACCTTATAATCGAAGGACTTTTTCATTACCTTGTTAAGTTGGCAACAATAATAATGCAATAATAGATAATAATTATTCTAATCAAAACGTTGTTGCTAGAAAATTTATAACATTTACTCATTCATTTTCATTCGTATACTGAATAATATATTATTTATGTAAAATAAGAATTCGTATTAATAGGTTAGAAGTAAATTAATAAAGAGAAACGATTATTAAGACTTAATAAATAAAATCTAATAAGTATATTATATTATAATTCTTTTATTAAATAAAACTCCCTAAATTATTAATCCGAATTTTTTTATAATAACAACTTTTTTACATTCAAACGATTTTAACGATAAAAATCGAAAAAAAATACTAATCTGCCACATCAATGAACAGACTATAAATATTCAAATTACATTTGAATTATATTTGAAAAATTTTTTTATAAATTAAAATTCTGTAACTCATGTTATCAGATCATACGTAGCTATCACATTAAAGTGCATAAGCTTATTAGTTTCTCACTTTATAATATTGATTAATTATTTCAAAAAACAAAACCAAACAATAAAGAAATATATACATATAAATATATCTGTATTTATATAAATTATTTATATAAATATAAATTCATGTCAGATTAAACATTTTGATATTTATCGAGATGATATTTATCAAACATTTTTGATTTATCGAGTAATTTGAATTCTAAATATGTTAAGTATCTCACAACGTATTATTCATTATAAGATTTTATTTACTTAAAATAAAATAAGTAATGTTAAAAATTAATAAATATTTAAAAGTATTTACCTAGTTTTATTAAATTACATGCATATAGCCATGTATGTTCAGATAATTGTCTTACTGGTTGTTTATAACTTTTTAAAAGGCTGTAATGAATATTTGCACTGTATTAAGTGTATTTTTATTCGTTTAGGCTAATATGACGAAATGTTATCAGTTTTACTAAATGTATTAGAATTTGCAAAATACTACTATATAAGCGGATAGGAATATAAATATCTTACGTATAGTATCGTAAAAGTATTGTGAGATATTTTCTGCTTTTTCCAATTGATCCTGTTTTAAACTCTCGTTCTCCTTTAAAAGATTAGCATAATTATTATGTAACTTTTCTATTTCGCTGCGTAATTCATCTATCGTTTGCTGCTCCTTTAATAATTTCTTTATTAATTGTTCATTTTTCTCACGTTCTTTTGTAAGTTCAATGCAATTACAGGCCCTGTTGGAGTAAAATTTTTACAACTAATATCGAATCATGCAAATATTTATTCATTATATTACCAGTATTTAATAAACGAATAAATATATAACTACTTACTGCGAATTATTAGTGGTGGGTAGACTTGGATTATCTGAATTACCAGCTACTTGATTGCACGAAGTTATAGAATTATTATTTAGCTTCACCAAATTTAACAATGGTTGCGGTTTAACGTGTAATTTTTGTGATAATAATCTATATTTATCAAAAATGTTATAATTATTTTTTTAACTAACTGTATCTTAATTTTTAAGACTTGAATATCAAACAAGTTAGAGGTAAGAAATTATTATACCCAACTCAGCTTTCAATTGTTTGTAATATTTAACAAATAAATATTTATACAATAATTTAACTAATATCTTAATTTAAATCATGTAATTGTAAAAAATAAGTTAAGTAGAATTTAATTAACATACAAACAATTCATTTGCATAAATGTTTGAAATATTTTTTGATTATTTCACATTAATTTACGTTTGAGGACAAATTTCTTATTATAACTTGTAGATTGCATCTATTAGTAATTTAAATAGAGAAATTTTATTGAAATTTACAATATTTTAGGAATAGCTGGAATCGAAGAATTTTTAGTAGAGGTATCGTCAATGTTTCCATTATCAGCTTTCGTCCATAATTTACTTTGTCTTTCAGATGTTAAATTAAGTTTCTGTTGAATATCTTTTATATTTCTGGACGTAAGAGGTTTGATATTTATATTATTATGAGGTATCACTCTGAAATATTACAATTTATATACAATTAATATATCAAATGATATTTTGTATGATGATATTTTTTATTACAAAATACATTAGACGTAAATCGTCCGTACATAATTTTTGCAGGCGAAACCTTATTCGCAACATCAGTATCATCGGTCACTTTATTCTTTCTTTTTCTATTATTTTCTTGTGTTGTAGTTAACATCATTTCTATATATGATTGTAAAATGTATATGTTAATGTTTTAATATGAAAGTTTGGATTGAAATAAAATTCGGATATGCATATGAATATGAATAAACATATCAATCAAAGATAATACTTAATATTTCGTCTGTACAAACCATTTCTAATGCTGCAATTATCGATTGTGCGAATATATTTTTTCAAGTATATAAATTGCCCAATATTATAAATAATTCATAATAAACATACACACACAGTTCTCTCCTTATTTTTCAACTTATAGTTTCTCAGTGAATATATAACAGATGCCATTATTATTTTCTACATTAAGCACGATTTATAGGTAATACAGGCGTCTAATACACGAGAATTATTATTATTATTTTATATTGTTAATAAATTATTTTATTTTAAATATATATTCCTAAGAGTTATAGACTAGACTTTGAAAGAGATGAAGTGTCATGTCTACTTCCAATATACTTCTACGTTTGCTTGGAAATGTAGCCTGCGGATCTCGAGAAAGAAATTATGAAGATAATTGGTCAATACCACAGCGCCCTTTCAAATTACTTGGTAAACCATAATTTCTACGGGTTTTGGGGTACGATTTTTAATAATTCTTTAAAAAGATTAGAGGAGCTTAAGTGCCGTATATTTCTTCAATTATTCATTAATAAATTAATTTTTATTTATTAAATAGATCGTGAAGAGAATAAATGATTAAATGTATAATGAAATTTGCAAGCGAAACAACGTGGACTTGGGTCGACTGAAAATAAAACTCGTTAACGAATTACAGTTTTTTAGTTTAAAAATATAATTGCTTGGAATTTTTATTATAACAAAGTCACTACTTTTATCATTTTTAAATTATTCATTTTTTATTGTTTATTTAAATTTTATTTGAATATATATATATTATATATATTTTTTTCTTTAGTTTAGTATATATATATATATATATATATATATATATATATATATATATATATATATATATTATACTATACTATACTATACTATACTAAAAAAAATTAGTTAAAGTATTTATTTATAAACATACTTTATCGCATTTTATAAATAATTATCTTACTTAATAAATGTTTTAGTAATATTTAATTATATTTATACAAATAATTGCTATAATATATTTTTCATAATTATTCATAATAATTCATAAATAATCACAATCACTCAATAATTATTAGAAACGCGTTTATTATTACTTGCATATATTTTATATACTGAAGTCGTTTTTGTTTTATTATATCAAGCTTTTTCTCATGCTATTCCTAAACAAAACAATTTTTCTTACTATTATTGTTCGGTAAAATGATAAAAGAAGGAAACAATACAATATTGTATAATGAAATTGATTGTATGGAATATTACTCAAATTGAATAAATATCTTATACAAATTAAGAAATTGTTGTATATGAATATTTAGAATTGGGAAAAAATATATATATACATATATCTATATATATTTTTACATTTATACTTAATGTTAAATATTTGTCTATATATATATATATATATATATATATATATATATAGTTTAATATTGGTTCGAAACTGAATTGTTTTAAAACTTAATTTCACAATGCAACATCTTCTAAGATTTAGAATTAAATCAATATTATTTAAAGTCAATAAATGAAATTTTGAAAAAAATATTGAAAAAATTGAGGGAAAATGGGAAAAATAATTGGGAAGAAATAATTATTATAACATTATATTTAATCTTGCATAGGTATTTTATTTTTATTGTATTTTTATTCAATTTATATATATATATATATATATATATAAGATCGTATTTATAATAGGCATTGCAGTGTTTCATTTGCACTGAATTATGCGTGCTTGGTAAGAAGTAAATGAAATTTTTTAGTTATTAGAATAAATTCGTTAAATTAATGCCCATGGGTATACTAATTTTTCTTAATACTAATATATATTTATAATAAACAATAGAACTTAAGGATAAATTTAGATAATTTGAGAGCATGGATTCAATAAAACAACAACTCATCGAGATTTTAAAGGTTTTTATTATTATGTATTTATTATTAAAAGAAATATCGTGTATAATAATAATTTTTAAAACTAACAAATCATTTGCCGGCCTATGGGTTATTGTAAGATAAATTCAATGTCAATTAAATAATGTGTGTGTGTGCGTGTGCGCGTGCATGTGCGTGCGTGCGTGCGTGCGTGTGCGTGTCCGTGTGTGTGTGTGTGTGTGCGCGCGTGTGCGTGTGTGATGTACTTGTATGAATCAGTTTTGGATTATCAAGATGGTCCCATAAGGTGACTTGTTTTACAGCATCAAAAAACTTGCAAGCGTTTTTATTCCATAATATCGTTTATTATTTTATAATTTTATATTCAACTTCATTGAAATAATATTTTAATAGATATCATGTAAACTTACATTTAATAATAATAATAACGTTAATTCTAGCATTTTAATTCAATGGCATTTATATCAATTATTCTAATAATTCTATAATAATTTCGTCGAATATAAATTTAATTATAATAAACATATATATAAGCAATATAAAATATTTAATAATTACGATGTTTGATTTTAGATAAGCTTAGTTTTGGCTATATCGATTTAAAAAAGAAAATTATTCTCGTTACATAGCTGCTTGTTTTATTTCAATAGATTATTCATACTTATAATGCTATTAGTACATTCATAAAATTTCAATCCTCACGTCATCTTCTATTATATTTATGGTTAGCATTAACCTTACGAAGCTCAAAAACTTCAAACCATTTACGGAACTGCAACTTCATACATAGAAACATTCCCTCGTTTCTTCTATATATCACAATGGAGTCTAGTCTAATTTGTGTGGGTATTATTTATAGTACAAACAATTTCTCTCTCGTCCTCATCATTTACTTATATTATGTACGCATTTTATAATACTGATCGATCGTCATATTTAAGCGATATATATATATATATATATATATATTTTTCTTAATATAATATTAATAATAAAATTAAAGATATCAGTTTAATAATTTTAACATAGCGCGTAAGGATATTTTTTATTTGGTTTATTTTCAGCTGAGTTTACAATAACTTTATTGGTATGGCGCGGAAGTAAAATTACGACATGAACGTGTATATAATTTGAGAGTTATTACATTGATTAAATTTTGAATGTATTCGCGCTATTATATATTCGAGATCATTTCATGAATACGTTATATTATCGCATTTACTATCTTAAGTCCATTTACTATATTTTATTACATAATAATAATATTAATATTAATAATGATAATAAATATCTATTATAATTATTTTGGTTTTAACTAATGCCGAAGTATTTCGAAATCAAAATAAATTTTGTGTTATATATATAAAGTGCTTAAAAGATTATTTTTATTATCTCTACTTTATAATTATCCGCATAAATGTTATAGTTTTAATTTAATTAAAAGATACAAATTTAGTTCCATAAAAGTTATTATTTTGTTTATATTACTTAATATTGAGTTTACTTTGAAGTTGATTTTAATATTTAAACGGATTGTAATGAAACTTATTATTTAACAATTTTTTGTTTAAATTATTAAATCAATGTCTTAGAACACTTTTAATTAATGAGGTATTATTTTGAATATTTTGCATTATGTTTTGATGTAAGAAAAATAATGATTAATATCACATTTATTTTGTTTAAAAATTGGAAATACTCTCGCCATAATTTTATGATTATTTTCCACATATTTTCTTCATTAGCCCGTGATATGAACTTGCGTAATTTCATTATTTAGATATTGGAAACTTATAAATTATATGATTATACATAAATATAATTTAATGAAATAATTGTGCACATTATTATACCGATATAATAATGAAATAATTTAATCATTTTTTTAATCGTTATATAATATATAAGAGCAAGTTGATTGCTTAAAGTATATAACACCTTACATATAATATGATAATAATGTGTATTTATTTATGAAATTACTTATAAATACTTAAGTATATAATTATCATTTTAATACGATTAAAATTTTCGAATGGGGTATATAAAAAATTTTTTACTTCAAAACCTTACGGGAAGTGATATGTATTTTGAAAGCATTGATTAATGTAATTTATATCAAGTTCTCGAATAAATATAATTACGGTTTAATTGTTAATTTTTTTTTTTTTTTTTTTGAAATTGTAAATACATCGAAGTAGCAATATAATATTGTGAATTTGTCAATATTTGAGAGAAATAGGTGTATATTCAGCTATTCGTTTATTATTTCTTATAGATTAATTAAAAACTATTATTATTTAATGCAGTATATGATTTTCATATGTTCGCTCATATTCTAATATTAAAAATCATAAGCATCTACTCTTAATTATGAAATATAATAAATGTTAAATTGAATTAATTTCTATTTGATAATTTTGCTTAAAACAAAATATATTTAATTACCAAATTTCAGTATTTTAATAAAAAAATTTATTTAAGAATATGGCCAACAGTGCGATAATTAGCCCGAGTTTTTATTATTTTAATACTTTTGTTTTTCTAAATTCATTAGAACCTAAAATTACATACTAGTTAGATGTATCACTTTTTTTATAATGTCGAAATATAATTTTCAAATTCTAATACATTGTACGTATTTTAAAATACTCTGTATTAACGTTCGTACGCTAGAAAAATTTCTAATAAATATTAAAAGTGAAAAATTTATAAATAATGTGAAGCTATACGATGACGATGTTTATATATTTCATCGAACAGTCCTCAAAGTCAAATAATAACGAATCGATATTAATTTTTATTTTATATAATCAACTATTCGATAGTTTGTATTTTTAATGTCTTACTATTAAAAAGTACTGTGCAAGTACTACCGTACTCGATGTAAAATTTTAGCATAAGAATTCTACGTGGTAATTTTTTATTATTTATTTATTTATTTATTTATTTATTTATTTATTTTTTTTTATTATTTTTTATTTGCTAATATCTTTGCAATTTGGTATGCATATTATTTTAAGTAATAATCAAGATCTTATGTAAAGTTAAAGACCTTATAAGGTAAGATGATAATTAAATTATCTTCGTACAATTTTTGATTTTGAAAAGTATCCTATGGTATTTATTTGTCTAATTTATGTTGATTACGATGCATCGTTACGCTTAATTATGATCACGATTGTTTAGCATCTTTTAAAACAGTTTCCCTTGCTTCAATTTCCCTCAAGAATACCAAAGTTTTATAACCTTTTTTTATTAATACAAAGTAATAGTCGTTAGCGTAGTTCAATGTCTATATATCTATATATATATAAAAGAAAAATTACTACGCGGATGAAACGATCCGACCAAGTTCAATATGATTTCGTCCAGTGTCGTTATCTATTAAAATTTCAGTGCTCCTTCAAAAGCTCCCCTCGTTGCCCCGGTCATGGTCGACGTCGAAAAGTTCAAAGTCGTCGTCACCGGTATTTTGAAGCCTTAGACCCACGCAATCCCTTGGCGAGCACTCGATACGCCCTTCATCACCGCAACTACACTCGACGCAGTTTCCCGTTGAGTGCGGAAGTACTTCACCTTGATGATAAGTCCGTCCTGGAAAGGCGTTAGCTCGATATAATAACTGAATATTTTAATGTTATTAGGATAGAGGCTACGTTTTCCCATGAAAATTATTCGTTTATTATTGCAATACTATTATCGGCATGAGATTAATATTGCTTTTGTCGGTAAATGAAAAATTTTTGGTATACAAAGAAACACGAGAAAGAAACAATAGAAATACTTTTCTACTCGATTATTTTCTTAATTATTGAAAATCATTCATTACTATACATTATTTAGTGTTATATTCGTCAAATTAATTATTCAAAACAATCATTACTATTATCATGTTAAATCTACATCTTTTTGCTTTATTATTATTTTGTAATTAATTCAAATTTATATTAATGTGTTTCTGTTAAAACATTTCAATTATAGGATATTACAACACTCATAATTGTTCTTTGATTTAACGTAATTCCTGCATGTAACTATTATATTACATAGATACTACACAACTACTTTCCCAATAAATTACAATCAACACATTTATTAGTCATAAAATATAAAAATTGGAAACATATAGTATAGATTTACCAGCTATGAAAACATTTTGAGAGTAATTTATTCCCTCATATTGCATAATTACGCGTTTGAAACTATTTTCTTAGGTAATGTCGGTTTTTAATCTTTGCAGTGAAATTTCAATATTGACTTTCATGTGTTTTTTTCTTTTTTTTTCTTTTTTTTCTTCTTCATTTTTTTTTCTATTTTCTTTTTTCTTTTCTTTTTTTTTTTTGTCTCAATTTAAATTTGTTGGTTCGTAATTTTTTGAATTTTTGAGAAATAGAAAGTAGAATTAGAACTCGGCTAAAATGACTGACAGTTAACATTAGAATCATGTACTACAAGAGACACTGATTATAGAAAAGCTTGTGAAGGAAATTGATAGTCCCGAAGGACAAAGTTGCACATCAATTTCAAGTATACGACGAGTTTTTAGGATAATAGAAAATACGATAGATTTAACATTGCATAGACGAATACTAATATAAGTCATAAGATTGCCAACAAAGGAGACAATGAAATTGCAGAACAAACTGTAGTAATCTCAAAATGAATCAATTTTATTAATGAGAAAATCTTAAGACGTTTAAGATATTAGAGATAGATAATATTCAAGCCAGCCTACTTGACAATTGCAGTACTTATACAATATACGTTATATACATATTGTATTAGTGATTTTATTTTTAATGAAAATGATTAGAAATTACATGTGTAATTATATATTTTCATAAGTTAATATTTTATTATTATAATCATTCATCATTATTCAATTAATATAAATAATTGAAAATAAAAACTTTTCAAAAATAAAATAAATGAATATATAAAACAATTTATATATATATATATATATGTATTCGATATAATATAAAAATATTTTCTATTATAGATTATAGTACGAAATCAAATTTGAGAATCTTTTTTTATACTACTTTTTTTTTTCTTCATTAAATTAGTCAATTAAATTGTAGTAGAATTAATGTTTTAATTTACTTTATTATGAAATTGTGCATTAAAAAAAAAAAAAAAAAGTTTATTTTATTGTTTATGAGAATGAAAATTTTTATTTTAAAGATTAAATTTCAATAAAAAAATATAATCGTAAGTTTTTATAATATTAAATATGAATTTTCTTTTCTTCAAAATAATTTTTAGTGTATTATTTTTATAAATACGAGGCGCGTTTTAAAACGTTGTCGAGCTCTTACAATATTTTCATGTTTGAATGAATGAAACGCATTAAAATAATTAAAGAAAGTTTTTAAATCGCATCGCAGCACACTTTTCTACTTATTTTTGTATTTATTTACTTATTTATTTATTTTTTATTTTATTTTTTAACCAGAAACCACTTTGTTTTTCTTCTGTATCTAGTGCACTTCATAACCGAGAACTGTAGTATAGAATATTTTTTTTATAATATCGTATTAATGATTAGAGCCAAAGATAAAGTGTAGATGACTGTAATAAAAATGTTGATAAAAATTTCCTTACCCATAACAAGGCATGTAACTGGCATCCGAGTTGAATACGCAGGCGTCATTGGTATTGTTATGGCTGTTGAATTTGTGCTGATGGCCATGAGGGAACCTTTGAAAATGTCCTTGCCCTTTAAGGACTCCTCTTCCTCGTATT